GGAAGATTCGATAAATAAAATCCCGTAATAATAAAAAAAAAAAAAAAAATGCACCAACTGCCTCCGATTAGGCCATCAGCAAGGTGAATGTCGTTCACGATCCTGCCGAGTATGTGGTGATAAGCATCACACACTACTTCATTTCGGATCTCCGTCCTACACTTCTCAATCCAATCTGTCTCAACTCTTCAAATCAACATCGACTCCACGAATTCCCGCGATACCCTCTGTCGGTGAACATGCCGTAACATCGTCAGCCACGACGCTTTTGGCCCAGAGTCATCGACGGGACGCCGTGATTTTGCCCACTGCCGTAATCAGCGTAAGGAGTCGCTCTGGGATATTGATTCCTTGCAGTACCCTGCTCGATTCTGGATCGCAGATGCATTTCGTCACTTCTCGTCTGGCTCAACAGTTGCAGCTACTGAAGAAAGAGTCAGAACTTTCCGTTTCTGGTCTAGGCGATTCGTGTGCCATATCTGACGGATGCTGTGTGGATATCCAACTGGAATCACACGCGTCCAACTATGCCGCGACCATTACGGCCCTTATTGCTCCAACCATTACGGGTAGCCAACCCAACGGTATCCTCGACTTTAATCGCTGGAACATGCCCTCCAACACCTCTTGCGGATCAGAAGTTTTACCAGTCCCAACCAGTTGATATTCTGATTGGAGCGGACCTGTTCTTCGAGCTTCGACACTTTAAGATCGATCATCACCGTAGTTAAACGTTTTGTAGACTGACACAGTGACCTGCCCACATAGTTCTAAACTAAACCTAACATAAATATATCAATTTCAACAGTCTTGAACCGGCCCCGCTTCTTCAATCGACCCATCGTTAACTCTCGTTATCAAGTCCGCACACCTTTCGCTATTTTTGGATAATACATATGTATATATTAACTTAAGTACAATAAACTGTGAATATATGAACTGAACAATCATCGTCTCTTAAATAATCTCGCAAGACAACGCTACTGAAGAAGCTCAGTAGCTCAAGAGACTGTTCATTAAAATCTTTGGTAAACGTTTGAGCTAAAATTGGTTGATCAACCCTCCGAAAATCCCATTTTACCGATTGATACGTTGCTGGCCTAACGTTTTGGGCCCTTTCATAATTTTTACTCACAATCATTGACAAGAAATTGTACCACATTTCACAGGATTTTGAATTCGTGGTGATAGAATGGATATACCTGAAGATATAGCGTGTCAAAGTTAAGGTTTTCTAACATTTTTAAAATGTGTGAAATTTTGGTCTTTAAAAAAAATCTATTTTTTTTCCACATTTCATGCGATTTTAAAGTACAAAAAATAAAAGTTTAATTTTGTTTTATTTTTTGAGGAATCTATTTTTTTGCACATTTCAAGCGATTTTAAAGTAAAAAAAATAAAAGTTTAATTTTGTTTTATTTTTTGAGGAAATTTTATTATATTAAAAATTAAATATAAAATTAGTATGTGTAGTGAAATTTACCATTAAACGTTTATTATAGAACCAGGACTTTGAATTTGTAGCCAGTGCATATTTGTCTGTGTAAATATTCTAGATATCGTAGCATCATTTACTTGGGCAGACTAAATTTTATGTTAAAATACAGTTTATTTAATGAAAAAATCTTTACTCGTACAGAAAAACACTTGGGTTTACTCCGAACAGTATTGTTTATAAATATATGTAAAACGGCTACGCTGACTTTACAAACCTCTTGGTACTTCTGCCTCAGTGTAGTTAACATATGTACATACTTATTGTTTAGAGGAGGATACCAAATGTATCACCTTAATTTACAAGAAAACGTCAGGAATAGATTATTATACATATATGTTTATTCTTGTCGATTAGGTCGATCAGGCGACGATGTTCCAGGTACGAGTGGTACGTCCAGACTCTGCTAAAGGCAGGCGGACCGAATTGCCCGTGCCCTAATGCAAGCGAGAGAAAGATAGATGAAGAGAGCGAACGCGAAGACGAAAGAAAGACGAAAGCTAGATGCATATATAAACCGCGATTCGTGTTTATATATGCGACGAAAGAAAATTGCAAGAGATTGCAAAGGCATGCAAATGCTAGACCAGATCATGAGCATTGCGAAGGCATGTTAGGGCAGACAGACCGAATTGACCGTGCCCTACGCGATGCTAACGGAATAAAGAGCGAGGGAGTGTTCGAGATAACGAGAGAGCTGATAGATCGAGAGAGTGATTTCGAAAGGCGATAGAAAGAAAGGTGCGAAACGAAGAGATGAAAGAACGGTTGAAACGGCTATAACAGTGAGGGGGCGGGTGTAGATACATGTCGATTACATTTAGGTACAGTGGGCAGTGCAATTAACGAACAAATAACATGATTTACTTTAAGGCTGCTCCACTGACTATAAATACTAACTAATGCTCGGTTGGGAGACCGAACACTTATAATATATTAACTTTGGAACCCCAAATGTATTAGGAAAAGTTTGTCTGATGTTGAATATTTTGAAATCGCGACTTAAACGACTGTCCCACAAAAGAAAAATAATTTTGTCCGGAGAAGTTATACGTCATACGTCTTCTGTTCCTCGTGTCGCCTATTTCTTTCTCCCGTTATGCATTTTTCTTATATATATACATATATGAATTCCCGCAAGCCGTATGCACATCATGAGTATTAGAGGTGTCACGGAACTGCAAAAGACTGGTATTTGAATAAAAAATGCCGAAAATGAATTGTGTGAATTCGAACGCTATGCTGATACAGTTTGAGTGAATGAGTGCGCCTACATAATACGCCTACTCTTACGCAATAAATTTAAGCGAAGAAGTACGAATATAATGCATGAGAGTAAGTGGCTGTTTCGTATTGAAATGCCTGCTGCTTTGCTGTGCGTAAGGAAATAAAGAAAGAGATGAACGAACAAAAATTTAGCAGTTAACGAATGCGCATGCGGCTATTATGTTTCTTTCATTTCGTTTCATTCAATTCATTATGTGCGCCGCATTCACTATACGCTGATCTCTATACTTATTATGTGTAACGCAGAGAAGGTAACGTTTCTGACCTCATAAAGTACAAATATTCTTGATCAGCATGAATAGAAGAAGAAGATGTCATCGGAGAAGTTGTATAATCTACATTGTATATTAGGCTGGGCCAAAACACTTTTTTTCGAAATTCAAACGGGACACCCCCAGTTTTATTACCTTGAATTTAATAGTAATTTACATGTTGGATAGTTGGTGAAATCTATTGCATATGTATATGTTGTAAAAAACCTGCACAAGTTTTTGCGAACTAGTTAACAAAATATATCAACCTCAGCTGAACTTCTTGATTTTCACCAATCGTTAATTTTTTAACAGTAACTAAAAAAAAAATAAAAATACCTTATTATCAATATGAACTAGTTTCTAAGTTTCAATATTATTTGAAAAAAAAACCGACGAATTAAATTTTTTTTAATGTATATGTCTGGTTTCCCGGCCTCATATTCCCCAATAAATTCCTCAAAATAGCCAGTGGAGCAAATTAACGTAATCTCACCTTTGTTTTCTATTTGCATTGCCCACTGCATATATATATATATTGTAACCGATTATAATTACTCACGGCAGCGGCCGTTCTTTCGCCTCTTTATATCTCCTTCTTCATTTGCTACTGCAGCTGCAGCATCTCTCTATCTATCGCTCGTGCTCGGCTCAGCAGCAGCCGAGCTTCTATCGCTTCTTTCGTTCTCTCTCTCGCTTGCATTAGGGAACGGGCAATTCGGTCCGCCTGCCCTCTAGTAGTCTTTAATTGATCGTCATCATTATCTCACTCACGTTCTACTGTCTTGATCAATCACTCACTTCTCTCGCATATTGAACAGACCCTGCGTCTTCAATTCTCGCTTTGATTTGATCAACCGGTACCCCTCGCTTTATTTCGCTACACCTACGCACCCCATATTTCGCCTACTTAACAAATAAACTGTACACACATAAAGTATATTAAATCGCTCCGACTTCTTAATTTAATCTAAATTCAACAGCTAGTGAAAAAGCTCGCTAGTTCCACAGTATATTTACCCAAACATTTTTATTTTCTTTTCGTGGTAGCAACCCCCAAACATTAAACTAAAAATTTGAAAAAAATTGTATAATTTTATTGAATAACAAAGAACAGAATTGGGGGGTGTCCACTTGAAAAAACAGAACAAAAAATTTTGTTCAAATTTTGGCCCAGCCTATTGTATATGTATAATCTACATTAGATATGTATAATCTACATTGTATATGTAGAAAATACCTACTTTATGTAGAATCGACATTGTAGATGTAGATAACAGATGAAGCAAAAAAATGAAACACATAAAATATTTTAAAATTCTACATAAATCATAAGCTCACATATTTATATACTGACTGAGCACGTGTATAAAATCAGAGTCGCGTCCACAGAAGCGTTCCACAGAAGAAGAAGAAACAACGTTCCTTCTTGTTTTTTTTTAGAATGTTCGCTTTTAAATTTTTGGTGCGATGAAATTTGAATTTCTTAGCTGTAAGAAACTGAATTTCATTTTATCATTTTTTACTTCATCATTACGCATATTATTAAACATATTGTATTTAGTTGTTCACCTTATCTGTACCAAACTTTGATTTTGCTGCTTCAGCCAGCCATTCTTATCTTTTTCATACATGTGGCCCCGGGTTTACCATAGTTATTAGATTAATCCAGGACGACTGTGTTTATTATATTTAATGTTGTATTCGTATTATTATTAGATATTTGCGCTGGTTACAATGGGTGTATGTTTAAATCGAAGCTATGATGTTGGATATAATATTGAATGCTGCGCTTTTACTTTTCCGTGTTTGCGAGAGAGACTTTGGCACTGAACTAAATGGCGTCGATCGTTAAACTTTTGTTCTCTCCTCTATTCGGTCGACGGCCGCTTCTGGTCTTTGTCTCTCCCACATATATTTTCCTATGATTTATTCCCTACTAAAAGTCAATTTGATCTTATTTTTAGATGTTCCAGAAGCATATGTTCGATTGGGAACATCTTTAGACGCAAACACTCTACGTGAGGGTACAGACGTTTACTTTGATTGTCTAGTGATAGCTCATCCACATGTATTTCGAATTGAATGGCGTCACAATGTAAGTAAAAATAAAAAAAATAAAAAACGTTCTCTTTCATAGAGTCCAGACGTATTTTTGTCTTGCGCTCCGCATTTTCCTTTTATATTACTTAAACATTTGGTGTTTTAACTTCAAAGTAACTCTCTAACTAACTTATCTAAAAATCTGTCCTAAACCGCGGGTGCATGCCTAATAATTGTGTAAAAACACAACTTATTTAATTGATTTTGTTGCGTCGGTTAGTCGTGTGTTTGTGTTGTTGCTTTACGAAAGTACGCCCTCTTATTAAATTTAGCCCGTCCCACGTTATTGTGTTTACCGAGACCTGGTTAAAGCACAATCTTTAGAAATGACCGTTCGTCTGGACGTGGAGATGGGGTCCTCATTGGATTCAGACTTTACGTCGGAACATTTCATAGTCCAGGTTCAACAAGACCTGGAATTCCTGTTCGTAAAACTGATTCTCCCAGGCTTTTCCATTTTCATTTCTTGCTCGACTTTATTCCACCTTCCTCGGCTACTTTAAAATACGAGCATCACCTGTCCGCTTTAAAAACTGTTTCTTCCTCGCTATCAGATAAAGACCATATGATAGTTCTTGGTGATTTCTATTTGCCAGGTACTGTTTGGTCTTCGGTAAACGAGTCTAATATAACCTTGTGCACATATCACGACATTACTTTATCGACGGCTTGTTAGACCTATCCCTATCTCAAGTCAACAATATGAAACATTCCTTGGGTCGATTGCTTGATCTGTGCTTTGTCTCGGATCCGACCATAGCGTTGCTAATGCGAGCCCTTCCGCTCACTATACCTGTAGACTCCCACCATCCTACATTCGAACTGTTGGTCGATATTGGGCCTACTTTATTGGATCGAACGGGTAGGCTATCTGAACGTGTCCGCTGCTTTCGTAAAGCCAAGTTTACGAAGCTTAATAACCTCATTAGGTTTTGATTTTGAGAGTTCCGCTCTATACTTGTGAACGGACGTTATGAAAGGCACAAACATTTTTTACAATGTACTTGACACATTTCCGCTGGAAGTTCACCTCAATTCCATTCTACGGTGCCACACACCAATTTTTCAGCGGAATCAAAATCTCGCACAATTAATCCAGCCATTTGATTAAATAAACCTAAAAAACACACTTTCCCATAAATGTTGTTCAATTGGTGATTAACTCTCATCCAAATAATTTAACAATATACATGTTAAGTTAATATAATAAGAGTTTTAGTAAATCACTATCCAATCCGCTGACTGAATTTTCACTTAACGATTCCGCATTCAATACGCTGGCGTCCGAGGTGACGATTCGAACATTCGAAGTAAGGACTTTAAAGACACCTTTTTTAAGGCGAATTCGGAGCAAGATATTTAATATTGATTATGTTGAAAGCATTCTGATTTTCTTTAATTAAACATTACAAAAAATAGCTCATTGCAGTAAAACTTTCTTTACGTCAAACCTGTGCATACTTTTTGTGCAAATTGTGAAAACATTTGTAGTGATTTTTAGTTGTACCAGTTGGCATCGCTTCAAAATACCAAAACAGAACTAACAAACCATATCTACACATTATTGCCATTGCATTTATGTCAAAAACCTCTGTTCGGCTAAGTGAAGACCCATGGCAGCACAAAAAAAAGCATAGCGATCATTATATCAAAAACTGTTAATTGTAATGAACCAAATTAGCAGTAGTTTGATAAAACAATCACAAAAACCACATATGAGTCGGATGCGCATCTGAGAAGCCTGCCCTATCCGTTTTATTAAGTTTTCCGTAAAATTCAGATGTCTGTTTTTTTTTAACAGCTGATTACTGCTATGAATGGAGAGTTGAAAGACAACTGATAGAGCTGCCGAGTACGTTGTTTTTTTTGACTCGCACGATATGGGATGTTTTTTATATCATAAAAGAACAATATTAAAAACCAATTGTTTTGATATGATCAATTCAATAAAACGGCAAAATAAACCCTATTCGAATTGAATCTTGAAAAGTGTCAGCCCTAGCCTTAGTTCGAATTTGGTTTGTGAAAATTTTAAGAAAAGTTTAATAGCTCGGAATTCTGTGTCACCGTGGAAATTTTTGAGCGGAAATCCTCTGTGGCACCCCTGTTTATAAAAAATTTCGAGAAGTTGATTCTCCTTATTCTCTCTCTCGCTGCGTAAAAAATCGGTCAAATTTCTCCGTTCTTAACTCTCAATGCTATAAAAATTACCTTTCTCGATGCAGGATACGCTTTTCACTGCACCCTAAACAGTTTTACATCCATCCTCGCTATCATTTCTCAATATGTCAGCAATTGCCGATCTTTTTGCCAAATTTTTCCAAACAACTTATTCTCATGAAAGCTACTCTGGTCAGCCGTATACATACAGTTTACTAAGGTCGAACGGCATTTTCAGCCCCTTGTTAATTGAAAGCTCGCTGCTTCATGAGCTTATACTAGTTATGCCGGTGTATTCACCAGGTCCTGACGGAGTTTCCGGCTGTGTACTCAGGTACTGTGCCGACCCCGCTCTGTGTGGACCCCTGCTTAAACTATTAACCCTATCCATTAACTCTTCATGCTTCCCCCCAATCTGGAAAGAATCTTTTATTACTCCGCTCCATTAGAAAGGTAGCAAGTCTGATGCAAATAATTATAGAGGTATATCTAAGTTATCCGCTATTCTTAAAATGTACAAAAAAAAATTAATTCCGCACTTGCAACATCTCTGCAAATCACTTATATCTCCAGCTCAGTACGGATTTATCAACAACCACAAATTTATTAGAGTTTACCTCTTTTATCATTAAAGGCTTTCAAGGTAACTTGCAGACGGATGTCATTTACACTGATTTCAGTAAAGCATTCGATTCTGTGAACCATTCTCTTTTAGCACAAAAACTTGACCTTTTAGGGTTTCCGCCTAATCTTTTGAGATGGATTTCCAGCTACCTTCGTTCTAGGTCTCAAAGAGTCCTCTTCAAAAACTCCTTCTCTTCACCTGTTAAGGTTACTTCTGGAGTACCACAAGGCAGCCATCTAGGCCATCTAGGTTTTAATAAACCTTCCAACCTTAGTTAGTCGTAGAAAAATGCTTTGTGTGATATTTATGCACAACCTGATCAAGGGTGACGTAAATAGCCCTGGCTCGTTGAGCCGCATAAACTTTACGATTCCTATTAGATCTACAAGAAACTTTATTCCTTTGTTTCCTCCACTTTGTAGATCAAATTATTGCTAGCATGAATCGTTTAGGGTCTTATACTTTGACTCTAATTCCCTCTACCTTATAAAATTCCCTTCCTCTTCTTAAATCACTAATACTAACATACCTTTCCCGTAATTATAACTATTTCTTAGCTATCTTTGCATGTTTAGCTGGACTAGTTGTGTTTAGCTCTAATTTTCCTCGAATATTAGTCTAACCCCTATCTTCCTGCATATTCGCGATCGGATCGGTAACACGCGTCGCGCGTCGTAACGGCAGCGCCCCTTGGTCGGTTGGTCGGGAGGAGGTTAACAGTCTTCGGCTTGGACTCGCAAGGACCACTTGATGGTGCAGTCATTGCAAAAGAGAACATTTTCGCAAAGTCTGTAACAATTAAACTGTGCGTAGGTTGTAGGCCTGGTTAAATTATTTTTACTTGGCATTTACAATGACGATTGATAACACTACTCGACAAAACTGAACTTTTTTGTTCCGCTTCGAACCGAACCGACTTTTTTTGATAGATTTGGAGCTTTACATTTTTTAAAGATATATGTTTTTTTCTATGGCGGAACTTTTTTTAAAATCTATTATTTTTGTTAAGCTTTTTTCAGAGGTTATGCTTCTTATTTCACATAACTTAAGTTCTTACCTTTGCTTGCAATGAATTTTTTTGAAAAGCTAACCCAAACACTGTGATTTCAACTTTCCGTTTGGGAAATATAAAGCTTTCAAATGCAAAATGATTTTTGTGCTGTATTTGTTTCGAAATTTTGACTTATAGGAATTCAGGAAAAGTCGATATAAGTCCCATGTCTTTTATTATTTGTGTATATCTACATTAATTCGGCGTCGTTTAAAGTATTGCTCTTTAAAATATATTGATTTTACCAATATAAGCCAAAGCAACAACAAAGTGCGATTTCCCATTTGACCGATAAAATATCGATATTAAAAAATGTCGACGGTATTTAATTCACCGATTTTTATACCCGTTCTCAAAAAGAGTTAAGGGGTATATTAGATTTGTGATAAAAGTGGATGTGTGCAACGCAGAGAAGGAAACGTTTCCGACCCCAAAAAGAATATATATTCTTGATGATCATCACTAGCCGAATCTGTGTCTGTCTGTCCGTCTGTCCATCTTGATGAGCGCCTAGATCTCAGAGACTATAAGAGCTAGAGCAACTAAATTTTGTTTCCAGTCTCATGTTATATCACTCTTTTACAAGTGTATTTCTAAATTTCGCCCCACCTCCATAAGTTCGAAAATCTATTTCAACCACAATTTTTAAGAGACGATAAAACTAAAAACGCAGTATCGTAGAGAATGATCAAATCTATCAGAATGCCGAATCTCATAAAGATAAGATCATTATATTAACCAGACTGAAGAAATTAATATTCAGTTGCTTCCCCCACCTCAAGAACGAGACCACGCTACTCATTCTCTTTCTCGCTCGCATACACTCTGCCCTGTGAAATGTGCCATCTTTAGGGAGAAGATGTAGCATATACATTGTAGATGTAGATGACAGATGTAGCAAAGAAATGTAAAATATTTTAAAATTCCACATATGGGCAGTTCCTATCTGGCGTTACGTTACATTCGTACGACAAAATGTTTAAAAAAATAGTCAAAAATCTGAAATTTGGAAAAAAGATTATCCTCGTTGAATATACTTTAGTTAGACCTATATTCACCAAAAAAATGGAAATAATCGAGCGTACGGTTTTAAAGATATAAGCCAAAGTATGACCTAAAAGTGCGTTACATAAAACAGAAGTGGTTTTCGAGGTTTGGGTACAAAATGGCAAAACTCTTCGAATTGGATAGGGCTATCTGCGTAACATTTTTTGTGCTAATAAATGAAGTAGTGAGAGTTAATTTTCAAACTTATTAAATGTAAAAACTTTTCCTCTTTTTTTGTTAAAAATCCGCGGAGGCATCTGGCGTACGTTACTGGCGTTACGTTACCAAATTCCGCGATTATAAAATCCTAAAAATATACTGTTAGCCGAGGTTGGACAAACACTCTGATAATGGTTTTAGGTAGTTTAATATGTTATAAAGACTTTAAGGAGAAACTTTTATCAAGATTCATCTTCTTCCTAGGAGATAATAGTAAAAGAAAACATGTCTATAAAAATACCAGAAAATACCAAAAACGTGAACTTTTGCTTATTTTCATAGGTTTTAGGATGAAAGTTAATGAAATTATATGTCAATAAAGTAAATTAGTTACCTTTCAATAAATTTAGAAAAAATTATCCGGAAAAAATTAAATGGAAATCGGTTTTTATTGACTTTTTATGTCAAGTTCACATATGTATATACTGACTGAGTACGGGTAGAAAAGTAGAGCCGCATCCACAGAAGCGACTCACACGTTCCTTCTCGTTTTTGTTACGATTATGATTCACTTTTTTTTATTTTTACCGAAATAAAAGGATTAGTCTCGAAATCAGAAAGAAGAACAGCAGCTATTTTTTTGTCAATGAGCGCAGCCTAATTGTAATCTTTTCTTGGGGCTATTAATTTATGCTTATTGCAATTTACAATAACGATATGCATAAAGAAATTTAGCTGAGCTGATTTTATTTCTTGAGATTCTTGCTCGAAAATATTCCCTCTTTTCATGCCAATACATCCTGAATTATTGCATTTTACATTTTTTTTTTATAAACATACATAAATACGTGTATGTAAATTATGTATCATGCCTTTAAAACTTGGTGCTTGGGTGCAACAAAAATCCATTGTGTATATACAATATTTATATCCTAAAAGCCTTTAGTTCTTTACACATTAAAAAAATCCATTATATTTTTGTTTCTTTTTCTTATAGGAACAACCATTATTTCATAACATTTCTCAAGGGATAATAATAAGTAACCACTCTTTGGTTCTGCAAGGTGTAACAAGATCCACCGCCGGTAACTATTCATGCGTTGGATTTAATGCAGAAGGAGAAGGAATAAGTGCCCCGTTTGCGTTGAATATTTTGTGTAAGTATTACTTTTGCGATGCTTTTATAAATACTTATTTTTAGTAAATCAAAAAAATATTACTTCGGTGCGACGAAGTTCATATCCTTTAGTTCGACGATCATTTGAAGTTAAAGTCTGTGTGTGTTATTTACGGCTGCGTCTTGACGGAGCCCCAAACTGATGCGGCACACAAATTGGTATTACACCTGTGGCGGCAGTGGACGTTCCTTAGGGTGGCGGATTCGGTGGTCCCAGAGAAAGTTTTACACGAGGATTGAAATAATTGCGTAGTGATTTATTATAGGTCAAAATTAAATTACAAGATTTGGCACAGAAATATCTGCATTCCTGAACTGTCGCTCACAGACTGTCTCAAACATTCTCCCCCCTTGACGATAGCGTCAGTATCGTCTAATCCAGATTCGTATTTTCTGCAACTTCATGACTTACTTCAGGCCAACAGAACTGAAAATGTCAGAATTTAGCCAATTATCTTGTATAGAAGGCAGAGCTAAGTAACCGGTCGTTTAATCAGGCCCCCTTGAGATTTTAGCGTGACAACTAGAACCAAACCATCCTTCCCTCGGTGAGCTTGCATAATTCGACCAAGAGCTCAGAAGTTAGACGGAAGCCGCTCGTCTTTAACAATCCCTATATAGCCTATCTTTAAATTCTCCTTCCTTTCTAACCATTTCGGTCTCTGTTGCAATAGTCAGCACTCCAAAGTTTCCAGAATTGCTGAACCATATATTGACAGTTTCTCCATCGTTCCGTGTGGCTAATGTTATCAACCTGTCCCTCAGTTAGATCAAGTATAGATCCCCTATTAAAAAGTGCCCAGGTTTATAGGGCTGCTCGACCGAAGTCGCCCATTGTGATGCCCACACTCGTCACGGAATAATGTCCGGTGCCTAGGGAGGTTTCGCGAACCATCCCGAGGCCTCTATAAAGAGCACCATTTTCTCTAGAGGCATGTTTGCCAGGCTGTCCAGGTCTTCGGAGAAGGCGCCGCCGAGTATAAGGTGACGCCTCCGCATGAGTGGAGGACAGTTGCAAAGAAGGTGCTGGATGCTCTCTATTTCCTCCTCGTCCCTGCAGCTGCGGCAGAAGTCATGGTGGGGCAGTCTGTACCTTTTGGCCATGCGGCCGATGACAGTGCCCCATTATGACTCCTGTCAGTGTTCGCACCCGACACTTCCTTAAACTTAGGAGAGTCTTGGTGCGTTTAGGGTCATAGTGGGGCCAAAGCGAGCGAGAGATCTCACAGTTGGCACAGCTCTGGCACACTCGTCCGCACTCTCGTTGCCCGCCATGTCGGTATGACATGTGTGTGATTGAGTGCGCGCTGATCTGGTTTAGTGCGTTACCCGTATCACGTACGAGTCTGCTTGTGGTCTCGCAGGATACCAATGCTTTAATGGCAGCTTGACTGTCGACGCAGATTGCTATGTTTCTCGGAGGTATCTCCAAGGTGTATACCAAATTAGCCGCTTGCTCTTCCTTTCCTCCGTGTTTCTCTTCCAGGAGAGTTTGGAGTCAAGGATGACACCAAGATACTTGGCTTCGCTTGATAGCTAGAGTGTCGTTCCACCAATTGCTGGTAGTTTGAATCTCGGTATTTGATATCTTCGTGAGAACAGCACCAGCTCTGTTTTTTGAGGGTTGACCCCCAAACCGTTCTGGCGTGCCCAGCTGGGGTGGGTGGTGCCCAGTGCGGATTCCAGAAGGTCACTGATTGTGGGCAGAAATTTACCCGTTACTAGTACTACTAGATCATCCGCATAGGCCGTGACCTTATATCCGCTCCTCCCCAGCTGAAGGAGGTCGTTGAGGACAAGGTTCCACAGGAGAGGGGATATAACTCCTCCCTGCGGAGTGCCTCGTGTAACCGTCCTTCTTGACGAGGAGTAAACCAGGTTGGCGCTTATCGTTCTGCTCCTCCTCCTTTCTAGCCATCTGGTTACCGTCGGGTGTGTGCCAATCCTGGCCAGTGCGGCCGTTATTGACTCGATCCTGACGTTGTTGAAGGCCCCCTCTATATCTAGGAAGGCCCCCAAGGCATATTCCTTATGGATTAGAGTCTTTTCGATATGCCCAACAACTTCGTGTAGTGCGGTCTCAACTGATCTACCTTTGAGGTAGAACACTTGCTTGTCTAGCTTGGTTCTAATATAAAGATCCATTAGTCGCTCCATCGTTTTAAGCAAAAATGACGACAGACTGATGGGTCTGTAGTCCTTTGGGGAGATGTGGTTTATCTTCCCGGCCTTGGGGATGAAGACCACTCTCACCTCCCTCCACCCATGGGGGACGTACCCAGTTAGGAGGCATCCTTCGAATATTTTCTTCAGCCATGGTAGTAGGTGCAGGCAAGTTGCTTGCAGCATGGCTGGTCGGATATCATCCGGTCCCGGTGACTTGTAGGGACTGAATGATTTAATGGCCCAGATAATCTTGTCTGGTGCCATTATATTTCGTATGAGATCCTCGATTTCCTCTCCTGGATGATCCTCAGTGTCGTTGGTGGCGTTGGATTCGTCACCGGTGAAATCTGAGCAACCTGGGAAGTGAGTACTCATGAGGAGCTCCAGGAATTCTGGCTGCTCTCTGCGAAGGTACCGTCCTGGCTTCGGAGCAGGCCTGGTGTAGTGGGAACCTTCGACAGTACACGTCGAAGCCTTGAGGCCTCAGTGGTACCATCTATAGTATCGCAGAATGTTGCCCATGACTCCCTTTTCACCTTCATACAGATGTTCTTGTAGGTATTGAAGCTGCGGCGATAATCGTCCCAGCTTTCTTGCGTGTTTGCCACTTTTGCTTTGTTGAAGAGTCTCCTGGATTCCTTCCTGACTTCGCTCAGCTCCCGTGTCCTCCACGGGTTGTGATTGGTCTTTGGGGGTCGGCTGATCGGGAAGGATCTGAGAAACGCCTTCTGTAAAGCATTGGTGACGTTCTGCGTAGCTTCCGTTTGAAGTATGTCCCCTTCCGGTGGGCAGCACCTTCTGTACGGTTGCGGAGAAGCGGTTCCAGTCTGTCCGCCTGGGATTGCGGTAGGCCTTGGGCCTCTTCTTGTTCCTAGTGCCACCGTTAGGTCCGGAGTGCTGTTCCTGGAAGAAAACAGAACATTAAGCTCGTTCCTTAGCACGATACAGGTTCTTGGCTTACCCGCGGGGTGTGGCGTGAGAAGGCGGTATCCGCGACCGTTCAGTCCCCGAAGCCTTTCACTTACGATCCAGGGCTCTTGGATGAGGGCCACGTCCACTGCCTTCTCCTCCATAAACCGCAGTAGGTCCGCCTATGGTACACTTGAGTGATGCAGATTAATCGGCACCACACTCATGCTATTCAGCGGACATGGGGTGTCGCGGTACTGCTACCGCCAGGGTGCCCATACCGAAAGATATGCGGCAGTCCGTTGCAAGTAGGTTGGGCAAGGCTTTCCTGGTCGCCCTTGGCCCTTGGTCCAGTCAGATGTCTCCAGGATTCGGTTCTGTGCCTTGATCAGAACGAGTGTGTCCTCATCCGCCTTGATTGGGAGAGGAATCCACACCTTCATGATCGTTCTCCTGGGAATATGCTCCGTGAGGACCACGCAGAGTGACGCTCCTGGCCCAAGTTCACCAAAACCTTGGACTGTGGTTTTGAGAAACTCGAGAGTTTCTGCATTGTTACAGGCCACTGCCTTGGCTCCCTTATACCACTTGATACCCTTGAACTCGCAGACAAACGGGTTATCTGCGCGCACAATGGCATCCTTCATGTCGGTCAGGATCTCTGATTCTGCCTTCAGCCAGTTGACGCCCGAAAGCTTCCACTCTGGGTGACTTTGGTCGATGATGGCTACCTGCAGCTCGGCCGGCGATCCTAGGCTGGCCAGAATGTCCTCTGGTTTCGCCTTCTTCGGCTCGGAAGCTTTTGTGGAGTCGTCTGTCCTTTGCCGCTTGGCTTTCGACCAGTTGGTTCCACCGGTGCCTTCTGTACAGAAGGCGTTGGTGGTGCCTTGGCGCTCGCCGTGTTCTGCGTCGGAGGTGTAGCATTCCCCCTCTGCTTCCCGGACACCTTTTTCCCCTTTCTCCCTCGCGCGTTCGCAGACGTTGACTTTGAGGGTTGGTCCACCTTCGTCTTCGTGCCAGCTGATGCTGACGCTGAAGTCGACGGTTTGTGGTCCTCAGCCACCGCCGCGTGTGCGCTTGGGCGGGGCCTGGTCTCCGCTCTCCTACCAGCGTTAAGCCGCTCGTACCTTGAGGCTCCTTTCCCTCGCGGTCAGCGTATCGGGTGGTCGTTGGCTTATACCACGAAGGTATTTTACCGATGCCCTGTATCCCGACAGCCGCTTGCGTAGGGTCTTAGCCTCCGTCTTCTCGTCCGTCACAGTTGGTGGACCCGAGTCGACCTGGATGTTGGGAGCCGTGACTTGTGGCTCCGCCTTCTGCGGCTCCTCGTTGTATCCGAGTCAAGAGAAGGATGTAGCCAACTCCGACACTGAGGGACCAGTGAGGACGAAGCTTCTGTCTGTGGTTCCCGGTTCCAGGTCCTCTATCGTCCCTTTCTGTCTGCGGTTCCTTTTGTTGCTTTTGGCATTACACGATTTGGCAGCCAAGCACTCCACTGCCATTTCGGGTTTCCTGCAGTCACAGGATATCGATTCCAGGGGGCCTGCGCTCGCACCCCCAATCACCGCCGGTACTGGGTCTCCGACTCCCTGCACCTGAACTGTTCTTGCGTTATCAGACATTTCTCCATAACTTAAGCGTTTTATCCCTACCGCCAGGGTGAACTACTTTTGGCTTCGGCGCTCCCCCATGACCTGCCCGGCTTGGGTGGCCCTTCTGGTAGCATACGCTACCTCCGTTCTAGCCATGGCTCGTCACAAACGGCGAAGGGTCAGCGCATCCACGCTGGCGGGAGACAATAATCTAACTGATATACACAGAGCTAGCGAACCATGGCTCTAGCCACGGTTCTCAACAAATAGCGGTGTGTCAGCACCCCGGAAATAAAATAGTCTTAAGCAACGC